ATATATTTTCAGATGCTTTTTGTTTGGTTCAGTCAGTCATAAGCAACTCAATTGAACTGCTGTGGTTTTAAGGAATTCATCAAATCTATGTTTTCCACAAAAATCAACAGCCTGATGTACATAGGTTAAAACAAACTCAAGCTTATGAAGAATCTGATATACTTTGCCACTCTAGGACAGTACCTGCTTTATTGATTAGTTGCTAAAGGAATTCACTTTCCTGTTTTAAATCCTACTTCGAGTGCACAAAGAACAGAATTAATGAGCTGGGTGGAAAATACGTTTAACATCATGCCCTGTGCTGCCATTCTGAGCAGATAAGAGTCTGTACTGTATTACCACATTTCTTCAGTACAATACCTTTTCTATTACTACCCAAACACCATGCGTAATTTTCATGCAGTAAAGGTTTGGCCTCACTAAAACATTTCTCAATTTTTTTAGTTCATTTGCAGTTCCTCCTTCTGACAGATTGACTATTTTTATTTCTTTTAAAGGGGTTCTGGCTTGTTCATTGGAGTGGACTTAATCAAGGATCAAGCAGAAAGGACCCCAGCCACAGCAGAAGCAGAGTATCTAATAACAAGGTACAAGGGACAATCACATCATTCCTATGTGGGAGGCAAGCACACAAATACAAAGTAAACTTGCCACTCAATAGTTGTTAAAATATTTTCTGCCAAGTGGCAGAAACCAGTCAGTGCAGAAAGGCCCTGGCTGGACAGCCTGCATGCTGAGGCTTCTAAGTTTTTCTGAACTACATGCAAAAGTAAACATCATTATTTGTTATTGCTTTTTCCAGACTTAAGGAAGAATATATTCTACTGAGTACAGATGGGCCAGGAAGAAATGTGCTTAAATTTAAGCCCCCAATGTGCTTCAATATGGATGATGCAAAATTTGTTGTGGACACAATTGACAAGCTACTAACAGGTAGTACAGATCAAAACTGCCTTATAGAGGGTTGCTGCTGGACTGCCTTAAAAGTCAATGCTGAGCCTGCTTTTCAGAAGTGCTAAAATACAGACAAGATGGTAGATGCTGAGCACATAGGAAAATTAGTCTTAGTAAATGCAAGTTTAGCCTTCGCTTCTGAAGTATTGTTTTGAAGTTCTGTAACAAAAGTATTTATTCCACAGATGCATGTGCCTTTTAAAATAGCTTTGCTCTGGCAGAGGTTGAAGTGTCTACCTATCTGAACAAGGGCAACTGGTAAAAGCTGTCAAAATTTCATTCTTGAAACTCATAGTCTGTGTGCATTTGCCACTTAGCTTTTTATACAACTTCTGCCCACTTAGTATTAACCAAGTCAGTGCAAAAGCTTGTCTCAAAGTTATGAGGTTGCTAAAATGTTGCTTATTCTCTCTCCAGATATGGAAAAACAATCTCTGAACCAACAGAAGACATCCACTTGTTCTACCTGAGCAGGTATTTATTTATATTCACCCTCTACTATTTAAAAGCTAAGGTTCCTAAACATAACTTCACAAGCATTGTCACTGGCAATAGAGCAGGACCAAGCTTCCTCAGAGATGGTTTTATTTGAAGTTAGTTTGCAGGAATTTCTGGCAATCTAGAAGCGTGGACCAGACTTGTGTACATCTGGCATTCACAGCTACCTTCTACCAGAGTCTGACACTTCTAGGAACACTGTATGTAGTCATTTGTGTGCAAGCCAGGTCCAACATGTCCCAGAAATGCCTACCACTAGAGCATGCTATGCTTGTCTGCGGAGCTTTGAGAGTGACTGGGTTTAACCCTTGGCATGCAGATGACATGCACATCAAGACAAAAACATAGCTTTTACACTAGCTGCTCAGTGCTTTAAGTCTCTGGACAGAAGCTGTTACAGCTGTGTAACTACTCAGCAAGTCTCCCCTTAACTGCTCCTAAGGGCAGGAGCACTGCATGTTCTGCATGCCACAATTCAGGACCCTGAACTTATGCTAACAGCTTTATGAAGAGATATAAACAGTACTGTTACTACTAAAGCTCCTGTTTTACTTTACATGAGTGTGAAATAATACTGCCTTCTGTTCTCTTGAGCATTTTTTACTACTTTGTAACATCATTTCAGGTTCATGGCTGTTATCTCATGCTTAAGCATCCATTTAACCCCTACAGTCAGAAGTTTGTGTGCGTTAGTAAGACTGAGTCCTGTTAAGTCTTGTAAGTCTTAGTTATCTGTTGAGGTCCCTCGATAGCTTGCTTACAGAGAACATGTAGCTGCTACTCATTCTGCCACACTCGCGAGCACAATGTACACTTACAGTTAACACCTTGATAACACCACCCTTTGGTACGCTTAGTACTTTTTCAACCTACTCTGACTAAAAGACAACCAAGTGCCCAGTAAAACGGTGTACCTGGATGGGAATGTACCTATTTTAATCATTGGTGGCCTCAACCACTGTCTAGATTCACAGTGCTCTACGGACAAACATGCTTTTAGTTCAGTGCAATATTAGTATAGCAGGCACAAGAAAAATGTGTTAATATTTTATTTAGCAAGTTAATGGAAAGACATACAGCTGTTTGTACTACTTATTCTCGAGAACAGAAAGATTACTCAATAGTGCCAGTTTAACTTGGAGGCCTAATGACTTAATGTGCTTGTCTGCAATCTAAACTAAGCAAGAAAAATGCCTTTATTTCCTACAGGAAACCAACAATGCAAAAAGCCTCTTAGTACAGTACTGGTATGACACTTACATATAATGTAAGTGAAAGTGAGGCAGTAAAGTAGATTCCTTTTAATGATGCTTTTACAAAAAAACATAACATTATTTTCTTTCCATAGGTTTCAAACAATGTTCAAGATCTACTACTAAGAAACATTATTCTACTATAATAATGCACATTTAATCTTCATCCTAGCATGTCTTAGACCAGATAAGTTACCTTTCATTTTGTTATTTTCAGTTATCTTGTTATTAGTAAAAGTTTTAGGAGAAATAAATTTTACAAGAGCTTGTTTCAATTCTAGCAGCAGCGTGGAATTGAGTTTTACTTAAAACAGCATATCTAAAAAGTATAAAGGAATATTTCTAGTAGCTACTATAAACTACATTTATAAATTCATGCTCTTTCAGGGTTATGCCTTTTGCAAAATAACATGAGCCAGTGGGTTCTCTTATTTTTTTCGTCTGCTGCTACCTATGCAAATGCCATTCTAGCTGCCAGTACACTTGGTCCTTCCCAGGCTCCTCTGACCAGTGTCAGTAGCAAGCTTCATAACAAGGTCCCTGGTAGCACTACATTTAAACAGTCTCAGTGACCAGATTAAGTAAAAAACTTCAGTCCCAAATTCATAACATCAAATGCATAAGGAACAGAGAGGTGAAGGCCATGGCTCCCAAACCGGTTCTTATGACATATTCTGCCCTCAAGAAATATCCAAGTAGGATTAGTAAATTAATACATTACAGCCATAAGCAACAACCTTGAGTACAAGCCCTTGCTTTCACCAGGCGATTACATGTTCTTTCTGTCACAAACTTTTCATGCAAAGGAGAAAAGGAAAGCCAGCTCTGCATTTAACTACCAGTGTCCTCAATTTCTGCTTAAGGCCACATCACTTGTCAAGGAAGCCAAGAACCTACTTCCAAAAAACACCAAACTAAGAGCCAGCTGACAAACTATCCAGAAGTACAGCAGCACTATAGTCCTAGTAACTATGCAAATTCCCTGTTGGAAGGCAAACTGTTTGCTAGAAAAATATTCTGCTACCCCTATTTCATAAGAAAACAAAGTATACAATAAATCATTTCAATTTTAAATCTTGAGACAGTAATACTTTTAAATACTGTACTCATTTGCAATTTTTTTATTTGCAAGTAAATTGGGCATTAGGTTACCATACTCCAGCTGGAAAGCTGTCATGTCAACTATCAGATTTAAAATCTGATTTATCTTTTTTATACTCAAAATTTCCACTTAACCCCAGAAAAATTGTAGACTTAAAACTTTTCAGCAAGTTTTTCTTTTCAAGGACAGCCAGCAGGGAGCAGCATACTATAGTCCCTGCATGAACAGCTGCATCCCTTGTTAAAAAAGCTGAAAAGGTCACTAGTAACATCTGTTTGTATCTTGTCTTAGTTACTTGGTTTGATTCCACTTCTTGTTCCCATTTGTTCAAATAGAATTTAGTACAAGAAAAAAATTGTCAGATTTTAGCTTTAAAAGGAAAGCAAAGATCAAAATTGATTACTGCAACAAGTTTACTTTGTGCAGCAGCACTTGCTACTTATTCATAAAAATCTGAGGTTGGGACTATACTGCAGCAAGACAGGCAAATCACATGATTGATAGTTATTGCCTTAAATAATGGTAAACCAGTCAAAAAAGGAGAGCATATTTATAGCTGGTCACTCATAGCTAGAGAAAGAGCTGCCTCTGAAGAGGCAGCTTTGTTGTTTCTCCTTCCACAACTTTTGTGGAAGTTCTTTAGCCTTTTTTTGATACACAAAAAAGGCTTCAAAAATTCAGACTTTGCATTGGTAATTTAATGTCTGTCTAACCTGTCTTTCAAGAACTTGTAGAAAAGTCTCAGACTGAAGACAGTAAAACGTGAAGGAAGTACAGGTAGCTTCTTGCACACCTCTTAGGTTCCTCCTGCCATGCTGTCTAGATTCCTAAGCCCTACCTGAAATCTATGCCTCTGGCTTCTCCTAGCAGAGCCCACACTACAATGCGGACGCTAACCGAGTTAAGGCTGAGCCTCTGTCCTCATCTAGAACATGAGCCACCAGCATGCCAGCACAGCCTCTGCAACAGCTGGGGCCTTCCGCCCGAGTTCTCTTCCATAACCTCCAGGCAGAAGCAAGTACAGTTTTTAGCCACCACTTCACTGTTAACAACTACCAATGCAGCCTTCTAGTCTTAAGATTGAAAACATTTAAGCGCAACTCTTCATCTATCAAGGTACTGCCATGGACTAAGTTCTGGGAACAGTATACTGGCATTTTACTAATACATAAGCTGAAGAATGGCACAAGACACTAGATTACGCCTTTTTTATTTCAAAAGCTAGGATAGCTTCAATATCCATGTCATGGTGAATCAGAACACATGTAAAATACCTTACAATACATTAGATTCCAAAAAGGTACCAAAAAGTACAGTAAAATTAACACTTCCATTACAGGAAATGTATGACACAAAAACAATACAAAATAAAAAGGTGGAAAGTGACACTGGTTCCCTAAGATGCATCTCATTCTGTACAACTGGAGTAATGCAGAGTCCATAGTTAACTCCAAGAGGCAGTCCCTAGATGCAGAGCTGCAGCTTTAAGCAGACCCTCAAAATCAGTTTCAGTTTAACCTATTAATAAAATCATTAATTAATATCTTCAGCAAGGCTGAAATTTACACACCACACTGTCTAGACAACTAGTTATCTGTAAGTATTAAACATGTGAAACATTTCCAGGGAGCTCTTCCAAGTAAGATGCACATTTAACAGGCCATAGAAATTTATTGTAAAGTTAAATTTGGTACAGAACTGAAATATCCATCTACAGCATTGTATACAAAACCTATGCAGTCATTTTCCAAAAGAGACCATGCCACTGCATACCTGAATAAGTTTGATCAATATGGCTTGTAGTTATTCTGATGACCACCACGTCTTGGTGTCTTCCCATAATTTGCACTGCCTTGACCTATGAACAAGAAAACAAATGCATTAAACTGCTAATTAGTTACGCTTGCTTATACCCAATACAGTTCTCTTTACTTACTGTAATCATAGCCTGGTCCATATCCATAATACCCATATCCTGAATAATCATAGCCTCCATAGCCACCATAACCTTGCTGATAGCCGTATCCTTGATTCCCATAACCCTGGTTCCAGTAATTGCCATAACCTTGATTCCAATTTTGACTTTGAGCTATAGAAGGGAAAACCATCCACAAAATCCCATTTTAGTACACACAACTTATTTAGAATGTGTCCATACTAAAGTAGTGTGTGTGGTACTTACCGCCGCCTCTTCCACCTCTGCCTCTTCCTCCATAGCTACCTCTTCCTCCACCACTACTGAACTGTTGCTGCTGGTATACTTCTTTTGGCTGTGCTACCTTAATCTCGCACTGAAAATAAAAAAAAACAAGAGTGTGTATATTGTCTTGTAGCAGCAGCACCCAACCTAGACACCTAGGAAAGCCAGAGGTTACTCTAGAGGCAAAGGAGGTGTATATGTTGTGCTCCATCATGTCACCAGGACTAATGCATAGCCAGAAGCATCTGATTTACTGTGCCACCTGGGCAAAAGGAAGTCACTGTTGGCCATTCAAAACAAGCCACTGCTTTCAGAGTATTTAATACTGCCTATTCTCTACCACCAACCTCCCCACAGAAAAGAAAGGTTAGTCATTATTGGGCATACAAAGCAGGCCACTGCTTTCAGAGTATTTTATACTGTGTATTCCCTACCACCAGCTTCCCCATGGAAGAGGCGCTAAGGCCACCACTCCTGTAGGAGCCAGGAGGCTGCCCTCTGTTCCTGGCACAACCTCCAAGCCAAGGTGCTGCTACTGGAACACTTCACCTGAGCTGCACTGAATGAACAAGGCTATGAGAAATGCCCAGAATGAGTTTTCCTGGCAGCCTTCGTACACCCTCTACACTGAGCATCTGTGTTGGACTGTAAAGTACCCTTACCAACACTTTAAATCCTCACTTATCCAATACTAAGAACAGCTAAAAACAACCAGAATTGACATTTCAAAGACAAATTCCCATGCTGCAGTTGAAGCTGTCAGCCAGCTTCCTAGTTCCTGAATCTGTGCACCATCCGAGATGAAAGCTACTGCTACTGTGTGTGAAAGGAGGAACTCCCTGTGACAGCAGCACATGAGCAAGCCTGGCTTGGAATTCTCCACACAGGAGCTTTAGGGTAACCTGTTCTTTTTATTATCACTGACACAAAAACAAGCCATAGTTATGAGATGCACAGATATGATTTCTCAGCTGCCTTTGTATGTACGTATTCATCTCTCTTGAAAACAAAACTTCATCACTAACTACAGTGTCTTGACAACTACCAGCACATTAGGTTTGCCAAGTTTATTCTGCGCTGTCAAGAGCAGTTGAACTAAGCGCAATGTAAGTCACTGTGTCAGACAGTATGACCAGATCTAGTAGGGCTCTGAAGTTAGCATACAGCCAGCACAGGCCACGGAGCAAGGGGAGAGGGACACCTCCAGCCAGCACACATCATTTGCCTCCAGTCCTCTTCTCATTAGCTTAACACATGAGCCTCTCTATTATCTGTTCCCACAAATGAGCACTGCCAGCTTATTCAGAGCATCTCACACCACTTTTACAGTAGTACACATAGCCAGCTGACCAGGTACAAGCTGCTGTAAGTATGCACTTACTCTGTGAATCCTTGTATTGGGTTTACATGACAAGGTTTTGGTAGTAGAGAGGGCTGCAGGGGGGACTTCTAAGAGAAGACACCAGAAGCTACCCCCATGTCAGACGGAGCCAGTTTTAGCCAGCTGCTCACACAGTTAGTGCCTGCAAGCCTTGAATTTATGCAAGTGCTCTATGCTGAGAATAGGTTTGTATCTGTTGAAATGGCTTATATTGCTAGACTGATAGATAAATAAGCCAGTTTCCCCCCATGTATTCAATTAATTCAATTAGATACTTTGCATACAAAAGCCCTTAGAACATAGCAATTATTAAAGCCACAAGTATTGGCAAAGAACCTTGGCAGCTTCTGCAACTGAACTTCTGGCAAAAAAAAAAAACCACCACCTGTGGTAAACTGCTAGCTGTCCTTATTGTAATTTGGGTACCTTGAAATCAGAGGTCTACAAAATCCTTCTCAGATTATAGATGTAGTGGTATTATACCTAATCACTTGGGCAAAAATTTACAAGTCAAAGTTTCTACCTTGCTTCCACTGACGTTATGGAATTTCTTCTCCAAAACCTTCTTCACTGGATCCTCTTCCTTGAAAGTGATGAACACAAACCCCCTTCTTTTGTTGGTCTTTGGATCCATTGGAAGTTCAATTGCTTCAATCTGAACACATGAAATACTATTTTCAGACTTGTATTTTAGCAGAACCATTAAGTACATGGCATTTAGGATAGTAAAATGGAAAGTTTGCTATCTATGCATCTTATGCAACACCAAAGCTGCAATATTCTTTCAATACTAACATTGGCTTTCAGACCAGAGGTTTCAATTTTACAATTCTTAAAAGCAGTTTTAATATAGGATAAAATGGTTTGAGTTAAAGACAAGGGTATCTAACTAGCAATTCAGTGCAGTTATGTGCCGTCCTTGCTCTCAAGATGGGAAACCTCTGGATAACTTACAGAAGGGCTTGATACATCTGAAGTTAGTTTAATTTGCAACTTGCAAATTATTAGTAAACTAAACAGCAACTGGAGACTATGCTTCAGTGTTTACTAAGATACCATTACACACCTCTCCAAACTCTCCGAAGTATTCCCTGATTTTCTCTTCTGTGGCTTCTGGGTTAAGTCCACCAACAAATATTTTCTTCACTGGATCCTTCTTCATTGCCATGGCCTTCTTGGGGTCAATTAGTCGTCCATCTAGCCTGTGTTCTTTCTGTTCCAGAACCTGAAAGATAGTTTGATAGGATTAACTCAAGCTGAAAAGTTTCCCCCACAAGTTAAGAATCTGAAACAGGAAACTTAAATTCACCTTTTCAACACTTCCAGGTTCTTTGAAGAGAATAAATCCAAAGCCTCTGGATCTTCCTGTGTTAGGGTCCATCTTTATCGTACAGTCAGTTACCTCACCAAATTTGGTGAAGTAATCTTTTAAGTCTTTTTTGCTTGTATCCCAACTGAGGCCGCCAACGAACATCTTCCTGAAATTTCAAAGGGATAGAGCTATTTAGATTCACGAAGTAGTACAGAAAAGCACATCCAGCAAGATGCTTATGGTGGTACACAGCTCAGCAGCACTGTCAGAAACAGGACCAACTGTTCAAAGTTAAACACTTCTGCTTCTTGTCAAAAGCTAGGGATACTACAGGAGTGTACAAGGGTGGATTTGGCTTTCTCCCCCCTGCTCTTTTTGATGGAATGACACAACACACCCTGAGGTTTATTACAGGCTATAAGAAACAGTTAAAATTGCCCAAAATATTCCTCGCCAGTAACTTATACTCTTTTAACAGTACTCTGTTATTTGCAGCAACACAGTATTGATTATCAAGTACTGCTAACTTGATTTTTTGAAAGTACCTAGGATCATTCCTACTGCTTTGAAAACATCAAGGATAGAGTAAGGTATTCAAAGCAAAGTACATGAGCTGTTTTAGGATTTAGACAAATGGCTGTAAAAATTTTAGTCCTAAGAACAATCTGCAGAATTTAAGCAAGGTGTATGTGACCTCCAGGAACAGTCATACAACAGATGGGACTTTGGACCTCCTTTAACTCCTGTATTGTGCACTTCTCCCTGATTAGTTACCAAATCTAGTTCTCTCTTCATCACTACTACAGGAGTATCTCCACTATTAGTCTTTACTTTCATGAAAGGCCCATACAGTACTTCCCAGCTCACTTTCCCACAAAATATTCTCTGAAGCATCTCAAAGAACAAAATACTAGTGAAGCGCAATACAGAAGTGGCCCTAACAAACAAAACTTAGTTCAGCCAATAAGGCACTTTTCAAATACCTCACTTCAAATGAAAACATTAATAGCATGGCTGTATTTTCTATTTTCAGTGTTTCCAAGGTAACAAACTAAGCTTTTAACAGCATTTGAGCCTTTTTATCTAACTACAGACTAAAGCAGTTTAAGTTTGTCATTACTCCGTTTAGAGGCAACCTTGATTTGGCACTAGAAGCTAACAGCACTTTAGAAACTACACTATGTTTAAATGAAATGGGCTTTTGGTGTTCATGTGTAACTTCGATTTGATAGAACTAGCATCTGTTTATGTTCAAAAGGCAACATGAGAAAAAAAATGTGATTTTTTTTTCCTTAAACTGGATGAAACCATATCCTTTATAGGCTAAACCCTTATTTTTTTCAGAAGATCAAGCTGTGCACACTTAACTGACAAGTGCAGCATGATGCGCAGGGTCCAAGTCTGTGTGCTTCTGGCAGCCATTACAACAGAGCCTTACAAAGGTTACTAAGCCTTTCAGTAACAGGTCAAAGAAACGTAACTTGATGGATTCCCTCTCATCACAACAGCTTACTGACCAAGCGTAACTACTATCATCTGTACATACTGACAGTGGCTTTCCAGAGCATACCCTGTCATCACTGACTACACTTACAGAATGATCAGGAGACATTCAGTGGTTGGGGGATGACAGGAATTCACCTGGAGGCAACTTTAGCTGCTTCATGCTGTCATGTTGGGGCTGTGGCACACACACAGATATTGCCACATGCTAAATTCACCTCTTACCACAGCAGTAGATATTATGCTTTGTAATTTACAGTCCTTTGTTTTGTAATTGAAATGATTGATACTTACATATATTTAAATAACACAATATAGAGCCTTTGAAAATAAGACTAAAGTCCTAGTATTTGGCTTTGTCTTCAGAGGCCAAGCAAACTGGACAACTCTACTCTTAACATGTCCTTTTTTTTGGTCTAATTTTATTAAGGCTGCTTAATCAAAGCATGCTCCAGCTCTTAACAAAATACTCTCATGTCAGCACCATGAACTCTGCCTTGGACAGCTCTTGTTTTAGCACAGCACTAAATTTGCCACATAGGTCAATCCCTCCAAATAATTGCTTTTCTAACAGTTTTTCCTTTCACACAGATTTGGCGTTGAAACTTGTCACCTCCTCTGCAAGGAAGGAAAAGAGTTTCACCCACTTTTCAGGGCAGAATACTAAAAAAGTAAAAAGAAAATGTGCACACACCTAAAAGACCTAGCTCTCAAGCCTTCTAGTGTCTGCAACACTACACCCGGCACCAGCTTATAGGAAACTTGTGCAAGACTTACTCCTTCCTTAACAGCCAAAGTCTGTTATGTCACTGTGGCTTGAGTTCTCTGTTCAACGTGAGGGATCTGACCCCTCGGTTCAGGACCCAGGAACAACAAAGGGAGTTCCAATTAAATACACAGGGTAGCTTGAATAACAAAGACCCACTTGACAAACAGGCAGGTAATTTTCAAGTCAGGCAGGTATAAACAGACCCCACTATGACAGGAAAGGAAATGACTCTTTTGTACACAAGGATGCCACTACCAAAACACAGCGAAACTACAGTGACTCCTCCAGAAACCACTCGGAAGAGATAAGCTGTTTTCTGACAATGCTGCCAAGAAGTACACCAAAATCGCTCTTACTGGTTTAAACACACCGCACATCGTCTCAATTATGCTGTTTTTCCTTTATTCCCTCCAAAAATACATAGCTTACCCCAACCAGCTTCCAGAGCTAGAATTTTTTTTTATTTGCGTTCACAAAACACATTCGCATTTACACCGACGCCGATCGCTCATGCAATCCCCAAAAAGTTTCAACCAACCCACCCCCCGAACGAGAACAACTCCTTCCATCCCTTCCTTTCGTTAAAAACGGAAAGGATAAAAAAACCGCGGGATGCGAAGCGAGCCGACCTAAATCCTCTTCCATTTTACAGCGTGAGAAG